GATGTGTTTATATATATATATATATATATATATATATATATATATATATATATATATATATATATATATATATATATATATATATATATATTATATATATATATTATATATATATAGAGAGAGAGAGAGAGAGAGAGAGAGAGAGAGAGAAGAGATCATTCTGACAGAAATATCTAAATGGGGCATAAATCTAAAACAATATAAATAGATAAACAAAATGGTGTTAATACCACACTGACTATGAGAAATGCAGCATACTTTTCGACATATAAATATTTTTATCTTTCACCAAGCAAACATTTCAAACTTGTATATCATATATATATATATATATATATATATATATATATATATATATATATATATATATATATATATATATATATATATATATATATATATATATATATATAATATATATATATATATATATATATATATATATATATGCGTGTGTGTGTGTGTGTGTGTGTGTGTGTGTGTGTGTGTGTGTGTGTGTGTGTGTATGTGTGTGTGTGTGTGTGTAAATACAAGTTTGCTTGGTAAATGATACAAATATATATTTGTCGAAAGTAGGGTACAGTTTTAATATCTAATTTGGTATTAACACCATTTTTGTGTCTATTTATATTGTTTTATACATATGACCCACTTAGATATTTCAGAATAATAATAATGATAATAATAATATTATACATATGTGTGTGTGTATATATATATATGCATTCATCTTTATTTACTAATATTAGTGTAAGACAAGTAAGTAGTATGTTTAATAAATTAGACATATTCCACACACACATACACATATACATATATATATATATATATATATATACACACACACACACACACACACACACGCACACAAGTTTGAAATGGTATTAACATTTTGTGTATCTATTCATATTGTTTTATATTCATGAACCATTTAGATAATTCTGTCAGAATAATTAAGAAAGTGCATTATATATTGCTTTGCTTTACAGTAGAAAATATGTCACAAACTTTGTCTGGTATTGGACCCCTGTCGAATACGATTACTCGATAGTTTGCGGAGCTTAAGGGGATCGTCTGTTTTTTTTTTCTCGTTTTTTTTCGATTTTCATCAAAATTGGCAAGAAAATCGAAAAAAAAGACAATCCCTTAAGCATTGATTTTCCGATGGTCCATGACTGACCTAATAGGTTATTGCGGAGGGATTACGGGTGGTTTACTTCGTGCCAATAAGAAAAGGGTAATTGGCTGGTATAAGGCCACAGTGCAGACGGACAACGGGACTGCTGTGGCCTAATATGGACATCTCTTAGGGGTGATACTCGTATATGACACGTTCTACAGACAATGTTTCTCCGTGATTGGCCCTCGCTTCCAGTGTTTGGTTTGATTAGATTCTGGTAATGAATTGAAACGATTTATGGATCTAAAATGAAATTAGATTATTAATTATCAGTCCAATCATGAGTTTTCCATAAAAAATATATATATTCTTGATAATTTGAAACTATTTACTGGGTGCTTTCTTTTTACTAATATTGCAGTTGTTGATGGTAAAAACCCTTGTCATTATCGTTATTGGTATTGCTATTATTAACATTATTACCAGTATCACAACTTTAATCACAAATATCATCCTATTAAATCTTATCAATATCACGATCATTACTATCACTCCTGTCATCATTATCATGGTATTACCCCATTATGCTATGTGCAGTTCGGTAATCTTCAGCTTAGTATGAATATTTACGTCACGCGTCACAGCCAATGGCAGAGACAGAACATTCACAAACTTTCCAATATCTTGCTAAAGTCATATCACGCGAGCATATGATAATGCAGGTCTCATTATCATTATCGCATCCACCGAAATCAGTGATAGCACATTTCATACATTGTTGTTTATTGCATATTCAATTCAGTTAGAATTTTGTGATTTTATGCCATCGACTTGTTTTTCTTAATTTGTTGTATTTGATCAATTGTTATTATCATTATCATCATCATCATTAATATCATTATTATTTTTATTATCGTTTTCATTATTATTATTATCGTTTTCATTATCATTATGTGTATTTGTATTGGTACCTTTTTTCATATATATGACTATCAATATTGTTTTTTGATGAAAAATGCACTGCAGTGGGTAGTGGTTTTAGGTTTTAGTAAGATAAGAAATAACATATTCAACTTCATCTTATAATTATGCCAAAAAGCTTTGACAACAAACACTTGATTTCAACACCCAACCAAAGACGATTCCTGCCAAAAGCCGTAAACAGAATTCCGAAAAAAGAATATTATCCTCGGGTTTTGAATTTACATCCGATGTTGGTATTGAAGCACAAATCGGAGGCGAGAAGACCCAGGGGGGGGGGGTGATTCAAGCCAATGGAAATGAGGGAGATAAGCAACCCTTGGGAATGAGGTGAAGGGAAGAAAGCCCGGGATAAGGACCTTGTTACTTCACCTATTATACTGCAGTCGTGGGCTATAT